CCCTGTCTGTTTTACTGAAAAGCCAATACCTTTTAAATTAGGGCTCTATTTCAAAATTTGATGGACGCATTGCTGAGAACCAGCCATGCCAACATGAATCGATACGCATTATGCTCAGGAGTCACAGTTTTTTTTTCGATCCGATTGACCAAATGCAGGTCCAATCAGGTAACTTTATGTTTCATTTGAAAGTAGATTCATATATCTATCAATGGTGGCTAAATTACAAAAAATAGATCATCACAATATTCACAATGCCACGAACCAACAACGATACGCTGTTTGCAGTCTTGGGCTTCTGGCTGTTAACGGATGTTCCGGATTTTCCGGAGGACCAGCGTGAGGCCATGGATGGTCCAAATAATCTTTGCACATCGTATGTAACTATTCAAGTAAAGTAAAACGACATTTACAGAAACAATATTGGATCTTAAAAGACCCAGAAGCCGGGTGTATGACTTTTTTATTCTGAGACACTGTACGTGCTCCAAAACTTTTGAAACTCTACCAGAAGTTTGGAAAAGTTACCAAATTTCAAGATCATCGTGCCTTTGGCTTCAGAGATACAGCCCGCATTTGGGCCGAAAAAGACCCGAATACCATCGCAAGATAAAAATTGGTATAGAAGTTCATTACAATGCAATATTTTCTGTCTGTTTTTTGTTGTTTACCCTTTTGACTTTTACCCATACCATAAGTTTTGAATGTATGCGTGAAACTGATGAATCTCGAAAAAAAAATTCGAGTTCGAACCTAGTCGTTTTTCAGGTTGCTGGTGGTGAACCTAGGTTGGTAACTGGTGTTGAAACTATCAGTTTGACAGCTCTTAGGTTGCAACCCGGGTGAGGGTTCGCTTCAAACTAAAAGGGCATTATTTACAAGCAGGCTAAGGCCTTGTTGTCCTCTGCTGTCAAAAGGAGTCGTCTCCACTCTACACGATCCATGGCCACACTTCGCCAGCCTTGTAGTCTGCGAAGGGTCCATGGGTCGCCTTCTACTTGGTCGATCCGCCTTGCCTGCGGCGCGCCTCTTCTTCTTGTTCCTGTTGGGTTACTTTCTAGAACCATCTTCACTAGGTCGTCGTGTGGCATTCTTACGACGTGCCCAGCCCACCGTAGTCGCCTAATTTTTGCAATGTCGATGAATGGTTCTCCCAGCAGCTGGTGCAATTCGTGGTTCATTCGCCTCCTCCACGTTCCGTCATCCACCGTAGATGGTACGCAACACCTATCGTTCGAAAAAAATCAAGGGCGCGTTGGTCCTCCACGAGCATAGTCCAGGTCTCGTGGCCGTCGAGGACCACCGGTCTAATCAGCGTCTTGTAGACAGTCAACTTCGTGCGGTGGCGAATTTTATTCGACCGGAGCGTCCTCCGGAGTCCAAAGCAGGCACGATTCCCTGCCATAATGCGTCTTTGAATTTCTCTGCTGGTATCATTTTCGGTGGTCACCAGTGAGCTCAAATACACGAACTCATCGACCACCTCGATTTTGCCACCGTCAATCGGAACGCAGGGTGGGAGGCTATCATTGTTTTCCCTAGAACCTCTTCCTTTCATATATTTTGTCTTTGATGCGTTAATGGCAAATCCAATCCGCCTAGCTTCACAGCCTTCAGTCTGATGTACGTTTCCGCCATTATCTCAAAGTTCCGTGTCATGATGACAATGTCATCGGCGAAGCCAAGAAGCTGGATGGACTTCATGAAGATCGTGCCACTCGTGTCTATCCCAGCTCTTCTGATCACACCTTCTAACGCGATGTTGAATAGCAGACACGAAAGTCCATCACCTTGCCGAACAACGCACATCACTCGATCCATAGTCACCTTGACGAATCGCATCAGTTTATCCGGAAATCCGTCCTCGTGCATAATCTGCCAAAGCTGATCTGACGGAACTATCTACCTATCCTGTTCTAAGACCATTATCTAGCTAATAAATTATCGCACTAAAGCTTCATGTTAGAAAGCATTTCCAACCAACTCTAAAAATCGCAAACTTCGCGTTGTACCTGAGAAAATTCCCTATAAAAATAGTTATAGAACTTTTTAACAGAATAATATGGAAAAAGGCTAGAAGTCCATGAACAAAAAGTTTGGTTTTCCCATGGTAATTTCCATATAAACTTCAAATGGTTTGTGCTAAGTCAGTTTCATACCGAATGAGCTTAAATTTTGGGAGGCTAATCAGAACCCCGTTTTGGAACCGATTGAGCATTGTGGAGTGAAAATTTCAAATTTTGTATCAGTATAATAACCATTCAAACGATTTTTTAAAAATGTGTATGGATCACGAACACTAATCAACTCCATTCCCACTCTAAACTGCCCAAGAGATTTGTAAACAGCTCCTTGCTATAGCTATTTTTTTTGTTATTCAATAAATGTTTGAGTAAAATGTTGGATTTGTTTAAAAATCCGCGTATTTTAATTGAACCTATTAGCAATGAAAGAATGCTCTGTTGAAATAATCACTGAGGCCAAAAACTGCAACACCCCTAAAGGGCGAACACGAAATTATTGCGACACATTCAACAGGGCATAACTTTTTTACCATTGGGTAAAAATCAACCATATTTTGCACACTTTCTCATTGATGTGTATTGTGTACATGCTGTCAAACTCGAAGTCGTGTTTTTCAAATTCAACGAAAATGGAGGTGAACCAACGCGAGTTGAGAGAACAAATTCTTTCCAAACACCTGGAATTTCCTGACCTGTCGCACCGGCAGTTGGGAAAAATGTTGAACATTCACCATTCAACCGTCTCCAGAGTGTTGAAGCGGTTCCAGGAGCGGTTGACGTTGGACTACGGCAAAGGAGCTGGAAGAAAACCGGGACCGGAGAACAAAAAGACGGAGGGAAAGGTGAAGCGGATGATTAAAGCAAATCCCAACGTCTCAAGCCGTGATTTGGCTAAAAAGATCGGCATGTCGCAGAGCTACGTCCAGAATGCAAAGAAGAGAGCTGGACTACATACATACAAGGTACAGAACTTCCCAAACCGCGATGAGCGGCAACAATCGACGGCTAAAACTCGGGCACGGAAGCCCTACGAGAAGATGCTGACAAAATATGGCTGCTGTGTGATGGACGACGAAACGTATATAAAAGCCGATTTTAAGCAAATTCCGGGGTTGGAGTTTTTCACCGGCAAGAGCAAGTTCGATGTGGACGACAAATTTAAGAAGAAGAAAATGTCGAAGTTTGCCTCCAAATATCTCATTTGGCAGGCCATCTGCTCTTGCGGACTGAGGAGTGAGCCTTTCGTGACAAAGGGCACAGTAAATGGCGAGATCTACAAATCTGAGTGCCTCGAGAAGCGCCTTTTGCCGTTCTTGCAGCAGCACGACGAAGCTCCGCTATTTTGGCCAGATTTGGCATCATGCCACTATTCTAAAAGTGTCCTGGAGTGGTATGAGGCCAATTCTGTCCATTTTGTTCCAAAGGACATGAATCCGCCAAACTGTCCGGAGCTGCGCCCGGTGGAGCAGTACTGGGCAATAATGAAGCGGGAACTTCGGAAGAGCAAGAAGACAGTCAAAGACGAGAAGGACATGTTAAGAAAATGGAAAAAAAACTGAGAAACTGGTACCGGATGAAACTGTAAAGACTTTGATGGAGGGCATCAAGCGAAAATGCGTTCAATTTTACACTCAAGGCTCCATCGATTAACCTTTCTTTTGATTTTTGAAGTAAATATATGTATAAAACTACCCTAAAATTTTGGTTTGATTCTAAACATTATAAGAAAATTGGCATGACATTTTCGGTGTCGCAATAATTTCGTGTTCGCCCTTTACTACCAATAAAGGAGCAACTGATGTTAAAACTGTTGCTAGAGATAGAAGTAATCAATCGAATTTAAAATTATTGTGATTTCTTCTAAATTCAATTCAGTTGCTATTAAAAATGGCGGTTTCTGATTTATAAAATGTAAAAACTAAATTTCTTACTAGCTAGTGTCAAAACCGGTTCACCTACCCTTTATTTTTTATTGATTGCTGAGATAATTTCCTCATCATTTTACTTCACAAAATTCGTTCTACGATGCTTGGTTCTTGAGTTATGGATTTTTAAATTACGTGATGTAAATCAAAAACTTTAACAAAAATTTGCCGGGAAATTTACCACACCGATCTTTTTGAAATGTTGTTTTCGGTGATATAATCACAGACATACATACATTGAATATTTTTCACTGTAAAACATTGTCGCTAAAACACTACCGCCATCTGTTGAGTAAACTGTCATGGGTAGTACACTCAACAGATGGTGATAGTGTGTAAACGGCAAACGCAAGGGAATTGACTATTAAATGCGTGTTCGATCGTTAAATGCGTGTTCGACCAACAAAATGTGTGATGTGTGTTTGTCTGTGATATAATCATAAACACCTGTAGGCAAAATTTCATAAAATTCTGAGACCGTTCAGCCCAAACTGTCAGATGATAAAAAAAATAATCTCCTTCTGTCACCTTTTTTATTTCTTTGCTGTCGATGAGCTCCTGAGTCTGCCTCTGCTCCGAAGTTCTGTCGGATTCCACACCAGAACATTGGTTCTAGAATTTCTGTATGTATCAGCTTCTGATGATATGAACGATGGACCTCAGCATTCGATGTACAGATTCTGTTAGCAAAGCTTTTAGGGAATATTTAAGGAACTGCTATTATCTTCTTAAAAACACACCATAAACTGCTTGTTCGCATGTTTGTTTAACATAATATAAACCAAATGAACAGAAATCATGTAAAACTTATTCATTTCTAAATGGTTTTCCAGCTAAAGCATATAAATAACATAAGTCAGCGAACGGTTTACGACCGAAAGCGAAACGAATGACAGAAAAATTGAGACAATCGCAATGAGTGATTTCATCGAGCGAATGAGATAATTTTCCTATTCCATTCATACCCTTTAACGTGGCAACGTTGCCCTTTCAAATAAGTCACACTCATAAATCTCTACCATTATTTCTTCTTTCTTTTTCTTCCAAACAGGTCATAACCGAGGGCGTTAGTGTAGTCCACCATTACTGTTTGTCAGCATGAGGAAAAGAAAAGTCAAATGAGGTTTCTCGTCCAACCATCGCCGGTTCCCAGTGGCCACCAGTTTCAAAGTCGAAGTGGTACCAAAGTGATAATTTTAAGTGAACCCAAGAAGCAAACGAAGAAAAAGTGAAAACAAAGTGCAATACTTAAAATAGCTGCTGCTGCTGCTGCTGGTACAGGGCGATAAAGCTGTCAATACAAAATTCTGAGCCTCCATCAGGAGTGCCCTGAACACAAAATATCCACCACGATGAAGTGGAACAAGAAGCCAAAACAATCGGTAAGTGCGCAAAAGCACCCGTAGTGGACAACAAATGTTTACCTGTTATCTGCGGGCTTTCATCGACCTCAAACAATTTTCGATGCACCTATCTATGGGAGAGGTATTTCCAATGCATCATTTCCGTGATAGCATTTAGTTTGATCGAAACTGGAACAACGACAGAACACTTAAACATGCCTTCATGCAAGCAAAACACAACCATTTTTAACATGCTTCCGTGAGGGTGGTATTTGTAGGGATACGCTATGCATCGTTCGTTGGTGGGTTGTTTTCAAGTTCAATGCTTCAGATATTCAGATATGCTAGCTCAGACTAGCTCAGAGCAATTCGAGCAGCACGTTTTTGCAATTATCGCCTTTCTGCATTGCTGGAATCGAGGCGATGTTTTTGGGTTATCGCGCCTGCTGATAGGATCGAATCGATCGTCGTCATCGCCGTTCACCGCCATCGCAATCGAGTCGTTGAGTAGGGTACATGATGGTATGGCAGTTGTTCGTAGCTATCAGACATTTAGTCATGCTTTGTGGTTGTTGTTTTTGATGGCTGTACAGGATGCAGAATTTGGAGTTAGGCGAAAGGAAGTGTCATATTTATTGCGGCGTTTGTTTTTCATATCGAGGTTCGATGGGGCATCACAAATATGGGGTACCGGAATGTGTCATTGTACGAGTTGGAGGTAGAACATTCACAGGTCAAGGATTGATGTAAGTGGCATTATGAGAGCTTATTGTCTACATGTGGAATGTATGGTTTGTGGAATACTATTCGTTCCAGTGTAGAAAGGAAAAAATCGTTATGCCTCTGGCTTTAGCTGTTCTGTTATGAGAAATTTAAAAGACAGTTGACACCGTCTTTAACCAGAGTATGCACAGACTAAACATTTATAAAGCTAAGATCAGACTAGACAGTTTCTCTATCGCAGGACTTATCAATATTTGATTGTTGAAAATTTGTCTGGCAACGTGTTCACACACCTACAGCTTATAAGTGACTGTCACAGTCAAATTTGACTGTCGACAGTCAATATTTTTTCAGTTTTTTTCTTGGACTGTGACAGACTTTTTAAGCCTTTCTATGTGGTGATTAATTACACAGTAAGGACAGAGAAAACTCTGTAGGCCGTAATCACATTGGAAGACAATCTGCGAATTTGACAGCATGATGGTTGACAGTGAACGGAAGAGCGATTAAAGTTTAAAGAATTTCCTTTCAATTTGAGTCATAGAATGCCGGTAAGGTTTCCTCATTCGACCAATTGATCGAGAAAAAATAACAAAGGTGTAATTGACCTCTTTCGATTTGAACCCCATTTGGAGGAGATTTATATTCTGCCGTTCGACATTTTCGAAGGACCACCAAAAAACATGAAATTACACTTTTTTCTAGCGATGCCTAAAAGTCCAATTATTCGATTAACGATTAATCGTAATCGTAATAATTTATCTGAACAGGCATAGAGAAGAACCATCACATGAAACAGGATCATAAATTTGCCGAAAAAAGTGTTAAGCGTTTTTCTGCTAAAGGCTTGGATTTACCAACTTGTTGAGAGCAGGAGTTTAACGAGAAAAACTAGGAGGAGCTTTAGCTCGATGGATACTGATATTCTGCGGCCTTTCGACATGTCGCAGACACCAGTTCAACCCCTATTCAGCAGCAGACGGGCCGAGGCTCTTGCGAGTGCCCAATCATTGAACCGAAGAATATGGAATTGTCCGGTCCGATTTGCTGATCCAGCTGTCTACACGTCACCATCATCTTCCAAAGGCTTCAAGCCTGTACTATCATCGGCCCTTTTCAGGGCCACCAGGATTTTCCAAAAGTGTTAAATTTCTGAAGATTTCCCAACTAAAATTCATATCCAAAGGTTCTTTTCAGGGCTATCATAGTCATACTAAAGAGTATAAACAGAGAGAACCCCGCTCAAATTCTTATTCCTACGCAAAACACAAGCTTCTCATGTAGTTAACAAATTACATTTATTATATAAGACCACGTAGTCCTACGTCACCATTGCGTAGTTTTTACGTAGGACTACGTCTGTGACTTCTATATAGGGGTACACTTTGTGAAAACTGAAAATGGAACATGTAACAGAATTATGAAAGATTTTTAACATTGATAACTCAGCTGCCCCTGGACCAATTTCAATAACTTTATTATCAATCGATCAGAAATATTTCTACGCATCAATGAAAATGCTTCCGACTGGTGATTTTTAACAATAAACTATTGAAAAAGTGGTAATATCAAGCATTGTCCAATGCACAAATAAAAAATGATAATTTTAACACTGTTTTCATGAAATAAACGTTCTTCCCAAACCCAGTCGTCATAATCGAGTACCACTTGGTTGCACATCATTCTGCTTTAACCTGAAAAGATATAAAAGAGCGCTGCTGTCTAGCCTCAACTTATCCAACCCAATCAAGGTGGTCATTCTCTAAACAGGCCTGATAGGGCTAGGAACTGTATTTAATAATTATTGAAATTTTTAAATAACTAAAGTTGTGTCACTTGATAAGTTATACATATAAACCACACTAATTCAAGAAACATAGATCATTTAAAGTAAAAAAAAGCCTCAACTCATTTTCGCTTTGGACGGTGCACAGTGGGGCAGCGAAGCCATTCGCGTGGCCAAAACCTCTAGCGCCGTTGGTTTGCTTTCTACAGCTCAATATTAAAAGCGCCATCTTTTAAAAGTCTCATATTAGTTCATTTTAACGCCACATAGGTGGCACTCGAGTCTATCTTTTGAACGGAGCATCCTAGCCGAATGGTTTTTATGGCAAAGTTGTGTAATTTGAAGTGTTGAGAAATATTGTCCAAGACATTGAATCTCTATGACTCACATTAAGCGAGATATCAGGCAATTAGAAAAACTAACCTCTAAAATTGCGTTTTTTCCTTTTTTTCACCTATAAACGTCAAATGTATAAATTTTATACTCTGATAATTATCAAAATGGTTTGACTCATCCAATAAATACCCATTAGTTTATATATCATGCTTAATTATAAAGTTATTAGCATAAATGTCTCAAAAAAGTGATGCATAAAAATGTCAATTACTCAAAATATAGCAAAAAGTAGCAGCCAATTTTTTTACAGTGATCATTTGAATATTGCATATCGTAAATTCTTTCAAATTTGTTGAAATTTTGCTTTGTGTGTAAAACGTGATAAGATGTTATTGATCTAAATAGATTACTAGGAGACTTAAAACTGCTGGTTTAAAATTTCCATCCTTCAACGTCCTCCATAGTGTCCTTTCGACTTGTTTTGCGACTGTTCGTTCCCGAAATTTTCTGAAGTCTTTATTTCTGGCTTCCTGAGCCTCCTTGCATAACATACCAATTGGAAGCAATGCAATTTGGATTGCCTGCGATCCGTGGATTAAATCCTTATGCACAGAGGCTGGCATTGTATACCATTTATAAAGACTAACATAAAAACGAGCAGTTTCTTCAGCAAAATTTCGAAATGCTGTTATGTTGATCGAAAATCCGGAAGACAACGTACGAAAAATTGTATCGCATCGGTCAATTAATTCCTCTATACCAGTTATTGCACTTGTTTGGGTTGCGTTAGTGAAGAATCTGCGTGCTTATGTGCTTGTGTTTCTGATTGTTTGTAATCTATTCAGATCAATAACATCTTATCATGTTTTACACACAAAGCAAAATTTCAACAAATTTGAAAGAATTTACCATACGTATATAGGTGAAAAATAGGAAAAAAACACAATTTTAGAGGTTAGTTTTCCTATTTTCCCGATATCTCGCTTCATGTGAGTCATAGAGTTTCAATGTCTTCGACAACATTTCTCAACACTTCAAATTACATAACTTTGTTGTGAAAACCATTCGGCTTAGATGCTTCGTTCAAAAGATAGACTCCAGCACCACCTATGTGGCGTAAAAATGAACTAATATGAAGCTTTCAAAAGATGGCGCTTTTAATATTGAGTAACTTTGTAGAACATTGTACTGCTGTAGAAAGCAAACCAACGGCGCTAGAGGTTTTGGCCACGCGAATGGCTTTGCTGCCCCACTAGACTGATGCAAATTTGAAATTTTCGCTCCACAGTACTCAAATGGTTCCAAATTGAGTCCTGATTAGCCTCCCAAAATGTGAACTCATTTAGTAAGAAACTGACTTGGCACAAACCATTTGAATTTTATATGGAAATTACTATGGGAAAACCAATTTTTTTGTTCATTGCCTTCTAGCTTTTTTCCATATTAAACTGTTAAAGAGTTCTATTGCTATTCTAACGGGAAATTTTCTCAGCTACAACTTAGCGCAAGATCGTTTTTCTGCCAAACGTCAAATTAAATAGTTATTAATTGTTTAAGAGATTGATAATCTTATGGCATGATCAAGCAGCTGTTTTGTGGGCAACACTGAATTCTGCCGTGTGACATAGTAGCCATTATTTTTGTGCTCTATTATACGCGCCAGAAACACCAATGTTGCTTGTTGCACAGTTGATTGAGCATAATCATAAGACATCAGCGACTTGAATCATTAATAACTTTTCTTCCTTACATGTTGTCGAAAAGTGATCTTGAAGAAAGTTGTAGCTGAGAAAATTTCCCAAATGCTCAACTATTCTGTTTTAAAGCAGAGAGATATGGTGAATTGTTATATAGATATGATAAAAAAAATGGTTTTCCCATAGTAATTTCCATATAAAATTCAAATGGTTTGTGCCAAGTCAGTTTCTTACTAAATGAGTTCACATTTTGGGAGGCTAATCAGGACTCAATTTGGAACCATTTGAGCACTGTGGAGCGAAAATTTCAAATTTGCATCAGTCTACTGCCCCACTGTGCGGCGTGGTGAGCAGGCAGCAGATGAAGCACCAATAGCAGCAGTAGGAAGGTGGTGGCAGGTTAGGTAGTCCACTATTCTACCCATCAGGCAAAAATGACTGGTCGTGGCAAAGGAGGAAAAGGTCTTAGTAAAGAAGGCGCCAAGCGTCATCGCAAG